GATGGGACTGCAAACTCATACAGCCTCTTCGGAAAGAAGTATGGAGAATCCTCAAAGGACTCAAAATAGACCTTCCATTTGATTCCACAATCCCATTACTATGCATCTTCCCAGGGAAAAAAAATCATTTTATCATGAAGACATTTGCATTACATTGTTTATCACAGCTCAATTTACAATCATCATGATGTGGAAATAACCCAAGTGCCCACCTGCCCAGGAATGGATTAATAAACTGTAGTATATGTATATCATGGAATACTATTCAGCCATAAATAAAAGATAGAGACTTTATATCTTTTGTATTAACCTAGATGGAATTGAAACACATTCTTCTTAGTAAAGTATCACAAGAATGGAAAGCAAGTATCCAGTGCACTCAACACTAATATGAAGCCGGTAGACTAATACATGCCCACACAAGAGAAAAACTCAGTTCAATTCAATTTGGGGGTGTGGGGGAGGAAGGGGAGAAGGAAGGAAGGAGAGGAGCAGAGGGAGGGGGATTGATGTGCTCCCACTTAATGGGCACAGTGTAAGGATAGATGGCACACCTCCTAGGAGCAGGACACAACTACAATAGGGATTTTACCTAACAAATGTAAACATTGTAACCCCATCATTCATGCCCTCGGATTAACCTGAAATTTCAAAAACTCAATAGATTAGACAACAAAGTTGAGAAAATCTCCCAGAAAGTATAACAGAAAGATAAAGACATTGACAATAGAGGATAAAAAAACAAGAAAATCAGAAAATGATTCCAAGAAATTCAATATGTTAAAAGCAGGAAATAAAAAAATTGGCAAGAAGGAAAAAATCATCAAATAAATAATATACATATAAGAAAATTTCCCAGAACTACACATAATGACAGTTTGTTTGAAATTATGAATTATGCTTGCATCATAATTCATTCAACAATTCAAGAAATTTCAGATGTTTCTTCTTTGACAGAATGAGCTTCCAAAAGATTTATTTTGACTTCATGTATTGGATAAAAAAATTGAATCATTGGAGTTAACTGATTTTCTGTTTAAAGTATCTGATAATATTGTGTGAAACTGGCTTCATGTAACTATTTGTGCAACCAATATATATGTACAAGGAAAAAGTGAATTAAATTAATTTAGAAGATAAGCCATCTGATCTAATTGAAAAATTGTGTTTCAGCCAGCCTAGGTGGCTCATCCCTGTAATTCCAGCACTTTAGAAGGCTAAGGCTGATGGAGTTTAAGCTCAGGAGTTCAAGACCAGCCTGAGCAAGAACAAGACCCCATCTCTACTAAAAATAGAAAAATTAGGCAGAGATCATGGTGCATGCCTGTAGTCCCAGCTACTCAAGAGGCTGAGGCAAGAGGATCACTGGAGCCCAAGAGTTTGAGGTTGCTGGGAGCTATGATGCCATGGCACTCTAGCCTAGGGCAACAGAGTGAGACTGCCTCAAAGAAAAAAAAAAAAAGAAGAAAAGTCATGTTTCATAAAATAATATGTAAATGAACCTTTGAATGCTCTGCACATATAAAAAGGCAGGAGAACCTTCCTAATTGACCACATCCCTATATCAACCACCTTCTTATGTTGACCTAATTTTCATAGACTGGACATGCATCCCATATACATGTCAGTACACTAGGCCTAGTTCCTTATGTTGACCACCTGAGGCAAGAGAATCCCTTGAGCCCAAGAGTTTGAAGTTGCTGTGAGCTATGATGCCATAGTGCTCTAGCAAGAGCACGATAGTGCGACCCTATCTCTAAATAAAGAAATACATAAATAAACAAATGTCATTTGGATTAGGTAGTAATATTCAGTGGAATGTTCTAAACATGTTATTAGGCTTCTATGGTTGCCACAGGTGCCTTCTGATCCCTCCCCTCCATTCTCAGCTGCAGCCAGGCTTTAAAATGTTGCCTCCAGGGCAGACACGTGAAGTCTCACTCCTTAGGTTACTAGCCAGGAGGTGGCTAAGTAAATTCACTTACACTTATGTGTGAATGTGAATCATCAGGCTTCCTTGCATTTAACACTTCGGAGTATTTATATTTTAAAAGCACGGTTTAAGTACCCAAAGGAATTAATCACTAATAGTAGCCTGATAGTTAATGGGAAGAAGTGAGGAGAGATCTTTTCAATGCGCTTTGAAAATAAATGTGGGCTACACAATGACACCTGCAGTAAATCAGCAGTGGTCAAATACCAAGGCATACTATGAAAAGAAAGTAAATTCTTTCAAAGTCTGCGTCCTAGTTCATAAAATGGGGGCAATCATTGTTCATTTTAGCACCTAGCATTTATTGAATCTCAAGTGTGAATATTTTGGACAGATGGCAGCCTCATTCAGGGCCTCGCACAGGGGTACACGCTCAATAGATGTCCGGTGACCCCTACATGAATACAGAAGGGATTTGTAAACTCTAGGCGACAGTAGCGAGCCCACGATAACAATACCGACCTTCACTTCTCTACCTGGGAAGAAAGTAAATCTTCCTTTCCCTCTGAATAGTGTGGATGGTGGAAAGACAGGTTAGTAGGTGATCTGTAGGAAAGAATCAATTCAGGGCAGAGACCCCAAGCTGCAGAATTCCTCAGGACAATTTATTTAGAGTAGATTCCCAGACCATACTGATAGAACCCAAACGTCAGGACCTTCTGAGATCAGAGAACTCTGATTTGGGAGATGGGTGATAAGCCTGCCGGAGCTTTTGCTGTTCTTTGAGAAATACTAGGGTGTACCAGGAAAAGTCGTAAAGGAAGCCTTCCAGAAGATGCCATTTTCTAATGGTCTTTAATGCTACGCTTTTAAAAAAGAGGAATCTCTTTATTCCGGACATTTCATACCTTACAGTGAGGTTGGTAAGTTAGAGTCTTCCTCTTTTTCATTAAAACAAAACAAAAGAAGAATTACAAAAACCAAAAAGCTCCTCCTCTGTAGGAAGACGCCAGCTGTAAAGTAAAGCGGTAGAGGACAGAGCTGGGCACACGTTTTTTAACGGTCCTGCCGGCGGAGCTCGGCCTATTAGACTGCGTCACCCTCTCGCCAAGAGTCCCCCAGGCAGGCAGGGGTTCCTCGCAGCCAGCTCTCCGCCCTCTCCGCCTCCCCTCGCCCTCACCCTCGGCCCGCTGCTCCCGCGGAACGCGTGCTCCAGTGCAGCCCTTTTTGGCACCGAGGCTTCCAGGTGCCCAGAGAGAAGGCGGAGCTGGGTTGCAGCCGCCACTCCGGCGCCACAGAGAAGACCCCCCCCCGGGAGTTTGGCTGCCCCAGCGCTCCGGCTCCGGCGTCCCAGGCCTCCTCTGGCTTTCCGCGTTTCTCCCTCTCCGCGCGCGGGGCGCGAAGTCCGCAGTTGGAAAGCAGAGCGCAGCGCGCAGAGCGCAGCGCCGGGTGTATTGTCCCCAGCAACCCGGTATTCAGCCAGAGCCGTCACGGAGCCCGCCGATCCGCGGACATCGGGACCATGATTGCCGAAGGACCTGGCCCGCGTGCCCGGTTGTACAGCCCTGTGTTCGGGGTCTGGGCGGCAACGCTTCTCCTGATGGGTCTACCGTGCCTCTTGGTGCGGGCGGATGGTGAGTGTTCTGGAAGCTGTGGGATCAGGGTGGAGCGTGGGGCCGGAGGGGAAGATGAAGCTTGCCCGAGCTGTTCCCTCGGACGGGCGGGACAGGCGTCCAGCCCGGGAGGAACGAGCGAACGGTGGTCCTGCGACACAGCATCCCTCTCCCTACCCACCAAGGTTTCGTGTGCCTGCGCGCCCAAACAGTCTGGGCGCCTGGACCCTCCCTTAACGCCGTGCGCGCCCGGGAGAAAGCCCGTGCGTTGGTCCAGCAGTTCCGCCGCCAGCTTTCCCAAGGTCTCCATAAAAGTTTTCAAATGAAATCACGTCTCAGGTGCCCTAGAATCTCCTCTGAAGAGAGGTTATTTTCCACCATCTCTCAATTTCTCAAAGTCTATTGAACGTGCTCCCGAAGACAACGTCGATGGTTAGATATTTTGGCTTGGTCCAGGAAAATCTGAACGCTGGGTGGTGGGAATCAACTAAACTAAGGGAAAGAAGAGTGTCCTGGGTGAAAGGACTCGCACGAGCAGAGGCTCTCGAGTAGCAGGGAAAATGGGACAAATGATATAAAACAAAGTGCCGGGAGGCGAGAGTGCAAGGGGTATGTGGAGAAATAGCTAGGGGCTGATTATATTAGGTTCCCTGAGAATTGGTCCTCTTTCGGTTTTTGTTTTTCTCAACCTGCATTCAGCTTTTAAGACTTCCCTCAAATTACCCGACATGGGAGCTCTGTATCAATTCTGTTTTGAAAAGCTAATTCAGCTATGTTTTGATTTTTGAACAAAACCCTACTGACTTGGTGCAGGAGAAGCTGAAGGAAGCAGGCTTAAAAACCAGCACCTCTCACACCCCTAAGAGGTTTCTAGTCAATCCAAGCTTAGAACCCATTAAATTGATAAAGAAGAATCCTCAGCTGATTAGGGTGCTTCATATATTTTTAAATGTCATTCTTGTTTAGTAAACAATATTGGATGAAACTAATAACAGAAGACGTGACAAAAAGAAGCATGGTGGTTAAGGAGAGGGGAAAAGCCTCCTGGTATTCTCTTAGAGTTCTTAGAACTCTGTTTTTAAGTGCAGAGTTGAAGAGCTGTTTGCTCTAAATTAAAGATGAATGTCTCCTTTTTATCCTACGAGAGAGTGTTAGACACAAAATATTTTAACTTTGAAAGTTGTTATTGTCCAAAATTGAGATATAATTCACATAAAACTCACCATTTTAAATTGTACAATCCAATGGTTTTTAGTATATTTATGGTATTGTGCAAACTGTGGTTGTGCATCTAATTTCAGAACATTTCCATCACCTCTCACCCTGAGAAAGCCCATAGCTATTGGCGGTCAATCCACTGGTAATTCTTTATGTAATTTTTTTTTTTTTTTTTTGCCTGACATCAAGTCATGAAAATTAAGCTGATTTTAAAGAACGCCAGTAGAATAAATTGGAGCTAGTATTAACTTTTGATCAGTGTATACTGTCATAGCAATTTTAATTCCTTTAAAAGAAATATCTTTGCAAGCCATGAGGCTTTAGAGTTTCACCCCATTATAACTGCTTTAGTGGAATGCCACGTGCATAAGGATGAATATTTTGTGCCTATCTAGCTTGATATGGGTTATAGAAAGTTGAAGCACAAATGTCACTGGACAAAGAGAAAGTAAGGACATCAGAGCACACGATCCCATTCTGTGATTGCTGGAAACGCTTCCTTTTCTTCACCCAACCTCCCCAACAGAGAATTGTAGGTTCCTTTCAAGAAACTCTATTTGCTGAACTCCAACTTTTCTAATAGAACCAGGAGGAACTGTGGGCTGTATTATGAAAGGATGCTTTTCTTTACGAACTGCTTAACTACCACCATTTCCCATATTTGGTTATTTGTATATAACAGAGAAGATAGGAAGAAGAAATGTTCAGCTAAACTGTGATGCATTACAGATATTTGGGGTTTTTTTGCTTGTTTGTTTTTGTTTTTGTTTTTGGACAGAGTCTCACTTTGTTGCCCTTGGTAGAGTGTCATGGTGTCACAGCTCGCAGCAACCTCAAATTCCTGGGCTTAAGCAATTCTCTTGCCTCGGCCTCCCAAATAACTGGGACTACAGGCGCCCACCACACTGCCCAGCTATTTTTTTATTTTTAATTTTTTAGAGACGGGGGATGGGGGGAGGCTCACTCTAGCTCAAGCTGGTCTCAAACTTAAGAGCTCAGGCAATTCACCTGCCTCAGCCTCCCAAAGTGCTGGGATTACAGGCGTGAGCCACTGTGCCTAGCTCATTACAAATATTTGAAGAGAGATTTAGGGAGAAACTATTTCTAAAAATGAAATCAGGGAGAAAAATTGAAATGGAAAACATTCAGTTTACATTTGACTAATTGGATAAACATCTCATACATAAAGGACACTTGCTACTACACTTTTAAATACTTTTGAAATGGAAAAATCTTTGCATTAGCTGAATGCAAAGGAACTGTGTTTAGGTAGTGATTATAGGGAAAGATTCATTAATTCAATATATATTTATTATTTACTATATACCAGGCATTGTCCTTGCTGATGAAGATAGAATGATAAAGAATGATTCTTTCTATAAGGGAGCTTTTTTTTTTTT